CTGAATCGTGTTTAAATGATTTAAACAGCCATTCAGATTTGTGTATTTGCTATGATGTTCATCACAGAGCCAAATACTGAAATATTTAGACTTAATAGGCTATTTATTTTCAATCTTTTTTTACATTTTAATCTGGACTACAACATGCCTTCGATATTGTTTGAAAGTGTTTTGATTCTTTATTGTTCGGTCAGACTTTACATTAGGGCTTCATTAGTTAACATTATTTAATTCATTAGTTAACATAAACTGCCAATGAAAAATTCTTCTGAACATTCATTAATCTTAGGCAATTACAATATTTAATAACACGTTGTTAAAATCGAAACTTGCAACTGTGTTATTTAATGAGCTAATATGAACTTAGACTTGTATTTTTTAAACAAAGATTAATAACTTCTGTAGCAAATGTAGCTGTTGCTCATTGTGAATGTTAATGCATTAACTAAGGTTAACTAATGAGGTCTTATTGTAAAGTGATACCTATTGGTCTTTGTAGTTCTTTTGCACTTTAATCTGTGTAAAACTTTTAACTTTATACATTTTTCTGTATTGATTTATTGCATTTAAATGTTCAGTTATTTTTGTTATAAGAAAAAGTTATTAAACCTGTTATACTGTATTATGACAGCACTTTTTTAAAACAATTTAAATACCCTGATAATACCGTACACCGTGATAAAAGCATTAGCAATTAATCGCAACATGAAAATTTGATACCGGCATATCCCTAGTCTACACTAACATTTTTGGTACTGAGCAGCTGTCATTTGGGTCACTGCATATCATTGCAAATATAACATACAAGACTTCACATTTCATTTCACGTTTATGATCAGAACAACGCAAACATGTGTTTTGACATGAGAATAACGCAAAATACAATACAGCCAAAACACCTGCCAAAGTGACATGTTTGATTTGATGTATTTGGTCTAAACCAAATCAAACGTAAAAATTCAATGATAAAAACTGTGAAATATGCACAACAATACTGGGACAGATGACGCTTCCCAAGGTTGTTACCCTCTTTTGAAGTAGCCTGCTACAATCAATGGAGAATTCTTTAATTTTTGATGCCAAGTTCTCCACATTTCCAAGAAGCTCAAGGTTGCGTGTCTTTGCTTGCTGCTCTCTCTCG